AAGTTAAAACTTAATAGTTAGTACAATTGTCATTTCCCGAAGTAACCTCCCATGATACAGGTACTAGATGAAGACCCCTGCCAACCCTAGATGCCTAAAAGTAACTCCTGTGTTTCATGGGCAGGATCAGCTCTTTAGTTTTGCTTGACTGTTGTCCTAGAGATGGTATCTTGAACAAAATCACCCCTTGGCAGATAGGGATAAAATGCAAACAAAAATTTCAATGTTTACAAACAAAAACTCATACTGGATCAGTCATTAAGCAGATAAACAAGGGCCACATTCCTCAGAGAGGAAATAGTTTGAGGTCAAAATATTTGTCAGTTGAACAAACTCTCCTACCAACAATGAGACACCTGGTCATCAAAATCTGATTAATTCCAAATTCTTAGACCTGATGAGTTAATGCCAAATCAATTAATAAAAAGGAAGCAAAAGGAATCGTGAAGAGTATAAGCAAATCATGGCATCCTTTATCACAGCACTCAAAAATCCACAAAAGAACATCATGGATCAAACATACTAAATACAGAGTGATGTGGTACAAAGTGAAATAAATCCCAATCCTGACCCAAATATGCTTTCAAATGTTCACAGGGACATCATGTAAAATAAAAGACACTCAAATCCAGAAATAGATCAAATAAAATATTATTATTTTTATTTCCTTTGATTTCTGGTGTATACTCATTTCTTTTTGGGTCCCAACCAGAGACCTCAGGTCAGAAATGGTATCATGACATTTTCCACTGAGCAGTTTTGAAAAAAAATCACACATATTTTACATAGATAAAGCCTCTCATAAGGTTTTGGCTGTACTTGTGAGAACAATTTTTTGTATTTCTTTAAGACATGGGCTACCATAAATCTCTTCAATGAGTCGATTGGAATCTTTTTCAATAAATCTGAGGGCTCCAACTACAACTGAAATTGTTAATGTTCTCATGTGCCACATTTTTGAGACATTGATTTGAAGGTCCTTGTATTTTGATAGTTTTTCAAAGATCTTCAAAGATATATTACAGTCTGCAGGGACATGTCAATAAGAAAATACATTCTGCCTTTGTCGTCTTTGATCCTCGATGTCTGGGCGATTAGCTTTGATTGTTCTGTCTCTGTGTATTGTAAATTCCCATAACATTGTTACAGGTCCTATCTTCATAAGTGGGTCTGGGTGGTGTTCATAGCAATTTCTTGCAGTTTCCTTTCTGTAAAAGTTGCAGATTTTCCAGTGCATATATTGGCATACTCTGTCATGCCAAGTTTTATATTCAGTGGGTGCCAAATTCACGCAACCTGATATAAGATGGTCAATTGTTTCTTGATATTTATCCCAGAATCTTCATTTTAGGCTAACACAATTTTTCAGTATGTGTTCTTGGTAATTTCTAGTTAACAAGCATTGGTCCTGTGCAGCATAAATAAGACCTTTGGTTTCAACTTTTAACCCTGCACTATGTAGCCACTGATGTGTACAGGGTTTTTCTACATCAGCTTGTTTATTATTATTATCATTATAATTATTATTATTATTATTGTTGTTGTTGTTTTTGTAATAATAATAATAATAATAATAATAATAATAATAACTTACATGGAAACAACAAATGACTGGATGATAAAATTAGTGAAACAACATGAAAACAGAAAGAAAAAATATTCAATAATAAAAGAAGGCAGTAAATACAAACAACATTTACATTTAGTAGATTCTGTAGTAAATCAAAACAGAAGCCAAGAACCAACTATTGCAGCAAAAGATATGAAAAAGAAAGCCAAGGATAAAGCCCTTGAACAGATGAAACAACGCTGGCAAGACAAACCTCTGCATGGCCAATATCCAGAACGTGCAAATAAACCCAATGTTGATAAAGTTAATGGTCATCGATGGTTACGAGCATCTGGATTAAAGTCTGAAACTGAAGGCTTTATTCTTGCATCCAGAGTCTTTTCACTTTTTCAGGCAAATATCATACATAATAATGTGGATCCAAAATGCAGGTTCTTTACCAAGAAACAATAGACCATCTAATCTCAGGATGTTCTATACTTGCCCCAAATGAATATAAAAATCGTCACGATAGTTAACATACTTACACTGGATAATGTGCAAACACTTTGGAAAATGTGTAAGCAAACACTTATGAACATCGTTACAGAAATAGAAGATGTCACCATTCTATTTATACCATCCACACAGACAGAAAAATTAAAGCAAATAGGCACATTATTGTCAAAACCAGAAAGAAAAAAACTTGCCTACTAATTGATGTGGCTTGTCCAGCGGATTTTAACATAGCAACAAGGAATTTGAAAAACTATCAAAATACAAAGACCTTTGAAATAGAAAAATGTGGAAATTGAAAACAAGAATAATACCAGTAGTAATAGGTGCACTTGGAATTATAAAAATGGAACAAAACAACACATTGAAAGAATCCCTGAAACCCCAGCTTAAGAGACATACAGAAAATTGTCTTATTAGTTAAGTTTGTCTATGTAACGCTAGCAACTTCATCGGAAAAAAAAAAAAAAAAAAAAAAAAATTTGAAATGTGGCCATAACAACACACCACGACCTGCCTTAGGTCTTTCCGCAGACTTGGTAGGTAGTGTGTCCATAGCAGAAATCGAATGATGATGATGATGACAATAATAATAATAATAATAGTACCAGCAGTGTTCCCTGAATATTCAACAGATTGCTAATTTATTATTATTAATAGTAGTAGCAGTATTGGAACCATATCCTCGAAACTAGAATCAAGATTAGATTGACTGTCTAGATGACGGCAATGCTTTGGTCAATGAAGATACTAAGAAAGGATGTGGATATTTGCTGTCTCCTCTTTCTTTTGCTCTTTGTTTTTTTTTCATATTATTATTATTTTCACAAAAATATGATGGTTGGTCATTTTATCAGATTTTCAGTTGTGGGTTGAAGCAAGATCTTTCCAGTAAACCTTTTATTATGTCTTACTTCACACAATATTAAATTATGTTGAAGATCTTAAATTATTGGTTCTCTTCATCAAGTCACTTTGACCAAAGGCAGAAAAAATCTTCTACAGGATGTTAGCAGATCTTAGTTATACCAATTTCCTAAGGTTTGGAACAAGGGGCTTGATTCTAAAAATTCCTGGGTTCAAAGTCCTAGTTATGGTGCCTAATTCACTAACGATGATAAGGACTATTGTAGTATCCATATACCATAAATGTATTATGTTATTGTACTGTTTATGGGATGTGAATACTACTTCTGTAATCCATGCCCCTTCAGGATGTGTGCGACTATAGCATTTTCAGAACCACCTAAGGCCTTACCGCCCTCAGCTCATCCTTTTGATATCTCTTCCACCCAACATTTCACCATCCATTCACATAAGTTTGTCAGGATTCACTGCCTTCTCATAACTCTTTTGCATTCAATATGACCTACGGTTACCAAATTCTCCATGCTCCCTTTCCCCCTTATGGGTCCCAGAAATTTCAGCTATCCCACCCTGATTTTGAATATAAGTGTCGTTTTTGTTCCCAAAATACATCTTTGTTTATTTGATCAGATTTTGGGAAGTTGGTTAGGTTGTGATCTTTCAGCATACCATCATCATTATTATTATTATTATTAATTTTATTTTCTTTGATTTCTGGCATTTACACATTTCTTTCCGGGTCCCGCCCAGGGACCTAAGGTTAGAAATGGCATCATGACACTTTCCACTGACAAAAAAAAAAAAAAAAAAAAAAATTACATAGATAAAGCCCTTCGTAAAGTGTGGGCTGTACTTGTCAGAACAATTTTTTGTATCTCCTTGTTATTATTATTATTATTATTATTATTATATTCCTTTGTGGTATATTATTATTGCAATTATGGTTTCCTTTTCTATGTATATTGTTCTTATCATAATTATTATTAATAATTTTATTTAATCTTATATTTTATCATTATTATTATCAGTCTAACTTCTATTATTATTAAAATTATTATTATTATTATTATTATTATTATTCAATTTAATAATTACATTTTGTGCTGACAGAAAAAAGTGTGTTCTCCTCAGGGAGTCCATCACAGTTTTGACAACAGCATCTACCATTATGATAATTCTATTATTATTATTATTATTATTATTATTATTATTATTATTATTTTACCACAAATCTTATCAATTTCAGAAGCTGCTACAGTTTCTCTTCATTTTTTAGTGTTCATTTTCCACTTAGAATTCTGTTTCATTTTTCCTCAATCTCTTTTTTGCTTGAATCTCTCAATTATCTTTCCCTTCGTTCTTAGTGCAATTGTCTTTTGGTTCCTTTGTCTTTTTGTTAAACTTTTGTCAAACATTTATCTTTTTATGTTTATCTTTTCCCAAATTTGTTTTCTTCTTTTCTGCACTTGTTAGTATTATTGCTGAATGATAGAAATGGTTTTATTTGCAGATTTTTTATAACAAATTTTCCTCAAGGTCAATTTTTGCTATCATTTCTTTTATTTTTCTCTGTCACCTTTGTCATTGTATTTTTCTTAGTCCTCTTCTTTTGCATCTTTGTCTTTCACCTTCATTATCTTTCTCTTTATCATCTTCATCTTTTTAAAATTTATTTACCTCCTCTTTTCTCTTGAATATTTCATTTTTCTTTGTCTTAAAAAAAAGAAGCTGTTTGTTACTTTCTCTCAAGCTTCATTCTTTCTTACAATTTTTTCTTACTTTATTTTTTCTTTTTCATTGTCAGATCTTTTTCTTCCTTGTATTTTCATTCTTTATTTTTCCTTCCTCATTTTCTTTTTTTTTTAATTACCTTCATTTTTTCTTCAATTTTTCCCTTTTATTTTCCATTTTAAGAAAAACTTATTTGTTACTTTCTCAAAGCATCATTTTTTCATAATTTCCTCTTCTGTCATTCATTTATTCTTTTTCTTTTTCATTGTTGGATTTTATTCATCTTATTTTAATTCATTATGTTTCCTTCATTTTTCTTCTTCATCTTGTCTTATTCATGTTCTTTTTCTTTACTTTATCTTCTTTTTTGTGCTTCAATTTTCCCTTTTGTTTGTCATTTTACAAAAAATCCTGTTCATTACATTCTCTCAAGCATCATTCTTTTTACAATTTCCTCTTCTGTCAGCCATTTTTTTTTATTTCACTGTTAGATCTTTTTATTTATTTTATTTTCATTTTCTCACATTTTTTTCTTACCTTTTCATTTTTTTTTCTTTATCTGTTCTTGTTTTTTTTTTTTTTTGTATGTGTCTTTTATTTACTTCACAAGAGTATTTCTTTCTTTCATCAGCCCAAATCATTCGTGATTGACATTTCCTCATTCTTCAGCTAACAATTACACTCTACCAAATGTTATTTCTGTTTTCAAGGGGAACAAAAAAAAAAATAATTGTACATTTTTTTTTTCTCGGGCTTTTCTTCATGAATTGCAGTTCTGATATTCCCCATTCTTTCTTTTTTTTATGGTTCACTTTAAACTGATTTTATTTCCACATTTCTCAGTTTTTTTTTTTTTTTTAACGGATTTTCATCTTTTATACAGATATTTTCCTCACTTCTCTTTCATGTTGTATCTTCATGTCTTTTTATGAGTATTTCTTTGATGTCAGTTTTCTTCCCTCCCATTTGCTTGTGTAGAATCTTTCTATTTCATGTTTATTATTTGTTATCCTGCTGGGAATACAAGTCCCACCACATCTCAATCTTATCTTTCTCTCTTGATTTTTCTAATGAAGCATCCAAATTCTAATTTACAAGTAAGTACATGCAGACACCTGCTTTTAAATATCTAAAAGAAATTATTGCGCTTTTAATAAACACATCTACACATCCGTGCACAAATGTTCAGAGGAACAGATTTACCAAATGATATCTTGTAGGTGTCTAAGTTTTACATATAGTCAAAAATGTGGAGCACACAGCCAAAATATTATTCACTAGGTGTGTAAGTATTTTTGAAATGAGGTTGGTTAATATTACTCAGAAGCAAGATGCTTTTTAATTCTATATATTAATGTAAGCCTCTGTAGCATTTGGATGGCTTCTCAAATATGTCTACCTGAACAAGAACCTAACCAAATGATCAAGACCACCATCTACAAGGCAGTATGTATTTCAATGCTGTTATATGACTGCAAATCCTGTCTTTAATCATATCATCATTTTTAGGCCGTTAAAACATTCCATGTAAGAAAATGGCACAAACTTGGGACACTCAGTGAGCAACAAACTCACTCAGTATCTGTCTATATTTCTGAGATGAGGTATTATATTCACTATTTACATTATTCAGACTATTGTTCTCATCTTTGTTGCCATATTTATCACAACGTTTCGGCTGTTGTACACTCCGGCATTCTTCAGGTAGTTGGAATGTCGAACTGAACCCTTTATTTCGCTCGCTGGGGTAGGCTGTTTTAGTTCCACGTGCCATGACAAAAACAGATGTTCTTAAGGACACATGGCACTGTGGATAAAGGTGTTGGTTAGATCCAGTGACAGGACCCTAAGAGTTGTGAGTTCAATACCTGGTTAAGGCAGTGGAGAACTTGAAGAGAGAAATTAACAGGAGACAACTGATAACTGACATCCATTAGACATGGCATGTTGAACTAGAAGTCTACCCCAGTGAGCGAAATGAAGGTTTCAGTTCAACATTCCAAACACCTGAAGAAGGCCGGAGTGTACAACAGCCGAAACGTTGTGATAAATATGGCAACAAACACGAGTATAATAGTCTGAATAATGTAAACTCACTCAGATAGAAACAGTCTATGAAGCAAATTAATTAATCACTACGCTATGAGAAGGTGCCTCAGATACATCTGTTTTCTTGTCATTTGTCATCTTTGCTCTTGTAGACAATCTTTATTTAAGAGACAAGTTGACCTACATGGTGGATATGTTCTCTTGTGGCTGAGTAGATTGACATAGGAACAGCACATGTTTCTTTTAATAGGACATCTGAAAGTACCTGGGATAGCAGTATATAGAAAGGATTCAGGGTGTAACATGTTTAACAATGTTTCTGGACCTGATGGACCAACGCTGTTTCTGTGTCTACGGACTTGGATGATTCGTGTTAAACTCGGCATTGTGCCACATCTACCCTCCTGGGCTAATAAATATTGTCTAGCTAGGATCTGTTGAGTACAACTCAGACTTATGCGAGAACTACCGACCTTCTAATAGTAGCAGTCACTACTGGATTGACTTGCAACAACCTTGTACATAACTGTTACCTTTATTCTTATTGTATTGGTTTTTACAATTAACCTTTACTTATTTTATCCACCTTGTTTTTCAAGTATATATTTATTTTAGTACAGAATATAATAAAAACAAATAAGAAAAAGAAAATGTCTTTCATTGATACCATCTATGAAGTGACATACCTGGCAAAAATTTCATATTAACACCTTAATTATCATTATACTTAGATATAAAACACTAAAATAACCTAACACCCATAGACAATCAGACAGACACTTGAAGCTTTCATGTCTTTTGCTTTTTGTACTGGTGAGATGCTAACAAATCCCAGGATCACAAGTCCTGTAACCAGTGGTAGAATCCTACCAGTTTGTGTGTACAGATTCTTAAAATTATAAAAGCTTAGCAAACAGGATATTGGATTATCTGAAAATAATCTTTTATATTTATGGCTGATATATAATAGCCAAAAATATAATTAATACTATTGCTGTAAGTTCTGTGGTGGCTGAAAGAATCTTTTCTGTGATGAACTTAATTTATTCTGACAAGAAATTGTCTTGAAGTTAAAAATGTGGCAAATCTTCTAGTCATAAATTTGATAGGTTTTCCACTGGATATTTGGGACTGCAGCAATTCAGTTCAAATGTGGCTAAGAAACAATAACACAGCTGATGAGATTAGAGTCAAAAAGCATCATATTCTGAATGTAAATATGATGAGAACAGAATTTCAAACCTGGGAATATCTTAATAAATAAATATTTTCTATTAAATTGTCAAAATGGTTTAATTCTTTTTGATATTATAAAGTGATTTGCTTCCATTCTCAGATTGAAGAGAAAATGAGCAGAATAGATTCCTGCTTTTATAGAACCAGTTCCTGGAAGTTTGGGATGCCAATATTGCCTGTAACCCATTAGAGTCACCATATGTACTGCATCCATAGCAGCAATGGTCTTTCTTGGGTAGGCTAGTCTGACAGAACCCAGGTTGGTTTGAATTCAGTTTTACTTTTCTCAGATTTATTGCAAAGGTCCAGTTCATTCTGTTATTTAACAATAGCTGGGGTAGAAGAAATGGATTCCTATCTTTCCCAAGGGTACAGGTATACCTCACTTAATGTTGGTTCCATAGGTCATAACTTAGGTTGAAAAATGACTTAAGTCAAAATAACCACACTATAAACCCTGAATAAGCCCTCTCCATTGCCTATTATGATATTTATGATATGCATGTAGAGTATTCTGAATAAAATAATTGATTTTCACCTTATCTTGAAGTGATATGACCTTATGCTTAGCATTAGCACTTGCACTGGGAATTTTCTTCAGAGCCTTAGACAAAAATGCATTCTAAATCACAAGTGAAATGTAACTGAAAGAACATCAACAGCGGAGCACAAATGTAAACAAGTCTGAATTCAAAATCGGTGTTGGAGTGGAAAGCAACAAACAAGTGCTGTATGTCGACAGGAATTTTAAAAAAGAACATCTGCTGAACATACTTTATGATGATATTTTTTGTTTTTGATGATTTTATCATGTAAATATATGTTTTTGGTTATTTTATGATATATATATATATATATTTCGATTATAGGTGCAGTTTAATTTATAATTATATATATATATGTTTTTGGTTATTTTATGATATATATATATATATAGTATGCATAATATTATTTTTAGATTTATTTAATATGATTTTATATGTGTTTATTGTTATTTTAGTGTTTTGACATTTCTAATATCTGTAACGGTTGAAGTAAATGCAAGTAAAATGACCTAAAGCGAGTTTTATTTTTCCATTTAATATTTAAGAAAAACCAGTATATCTTCAAAAATGACTTAACTCGAAACAACTTAAGCCAAGGCATCACTATATTTGCATGTAAATGAATGCAACAAACCTGACTGGAATTTGAACTCAGCTCTCTGATTTCTCATTCCAAGCCATTATCCATTAAACCACCTGCACATCCAACTAACAAACATACAGTAAGACAAATTATGTGCTACTTTAAAACACGTATCAAGTTTATATTTGATCTATCACCAAATGAGTGCACTTTTGAGTTATCCAGCAACTGGCACAGTCATAAAATATGAACCGTTTAAACATATAAGGCTGACTCAAATTTCCAGTGTTCATGCTTAAAGCAGTTGTATAATGTATTCATCATTGATTTGTGTATAGTGAAGGTTCCAGTTGAGAGAAGATATAATAGAACTGTCATGTGACATTTAAAAGCAAGGAATCTTTGGGACTGCAAAAGAATTTTGATCAGTGGTGAAATGCATCTGTGAAATTGGTGATCACATGTCGGGCTCAAGTCTAGACAGAAAGGGGAGAATTTCTTCCATTACTTATTCGTTTGTATAATCTGACATTTTTAAAAGCATAGTCTTGCTTATTGATTAAGTCTTGTTTTGGCTTCACTCTTCGATAAGGTATTTATAAAATCACTGAGCTCAAATCACGAGCAAACTATTAAGTTCTGCTGTATTTATGACCTATTTTTGGAGAAGTTACGAAGAACTTTGAATTTAGGCAGCATCTCACTCACCTATTCTTACCAACTGTTATTCTTTCACTTCCACTCACTGTTTATATCAATCTGTTTTTCTCTCTTTGTCTAAATCCATTAAAACTTTTTCTTCTTTCCTTTTTCCTCATCTTTCTCTTTCTATGCTTTTTTTTATGTTGTTTATCTCCGTATCTAACTGGTTAGGCTTGTTCATTATCTCTACCGCTTTTTATAATGTGTCTTTAATTCTTTATTTCATTCATTGTTTTTTTCTTTCTAGCTTTCTTTCTTTATCTATCTCATTCATCATTTCTTTCTTTCTTCATCTATCTCATTCATTGTTTCTTTCTTTCTAGCCTTCTTCATTTATCTCATTCATTGCTTCTTTCTTTCTAGCCTTCTTCAGTTATCTCATTCATTGCTTCTTTCTTTCTAGCCTTCTTTGTCTATCTCATTCATTGCTTCTTTCTTTCTAGCCTTCTTCATTTATCTCATTCATTGCTTCTTTCTTTCTAGCCTTCTTCATTTATCTCATTCATTGCTTCTTTCTTTCTAGCCTTCTTCAGTTATCTCATTCATTGTTTCTTTCTTTCTAGCCTTCTTCATTTATCTCATTCATTGTTTCTTTTCTTTTCTAGCCTTTCTTTTATCTCATTCATTGCTTCTTTTCTAGCCTTCTTCATTTATCTCATTCATTGCTTCTTTCTTTCTAGCCTTCTTCAGTTATCTCATTCATTGCTTCTTTCTTTCTAGCCTTCTTCAGTTATCTCATTCATTGCTTCTTTCTTTTCTAGCCTTCTTCAGTTATCTCATTCATTGTTTCTTTCTTTCTAGCCTTTTCATCTTCTCATCCATTGTTTCTTTCTTTCTATCTTCATTTATCATTCATTGCTTCTTTCTTTCTAGCCTTCTTCAGTTATCTCATTCATTGCTTCTTTCTTTTCTAGCTTTCTTTGTCTATCTCATTCATTGCTTCTTTCTTTTCTAGCCTTCTTCATTTATCTCATTCATTGCTTCTTTCTTTTCTAGCCTTCTTCAGTTATCTCATTCATTGTTTCTTTCTTTCTAGCCTTCTTCATTTTATCTCATCCATTGTTTCTTTCTTTTCTAGCTTTCTTCATCTATCTCATTCATTGCTTCTTTCTTTCTAGCCTTCTTCAGTTATCTCATTCATTGTTTCTTTCTTTTCTAGCCTTCTTCATCTATCTCATCCATTGTTTCTTTTCTTTCTAGCTTTATTCATCTATCTCATTCATTGTTTCTTTCTTTCTAGCCTTCTTCATCTATCTCATTCATTGTTTCTTTTCTTTTCTAGATTTCTTCATCTATCTCATCCATTGTTTCTTTCTTTCTAGCCTTCTTCATCTATGTCATTCATTGTTTCTTTCTTTTCTAGCTTTCTTCGTCTATCTCATTCACTGTTTCTTTCTTTCTAGCTTTCTTCGTCTATCTCATTCATTGTTTGTTTCTTTCTAGCCTTCTTCATCTATCTCATCCATTGTTTCTTTCTTTCTAGCTTTCTTCATCTATCTCATTCATTGCTTCTTTCTTTCTAGCCTTCTTCAGTTATCTCATTCATTGTTTCTTTCTTTCTAGCCTTCTTCATCTATCTCATCCATTGTTTCTTTCTTTCTAGCTTTCTTCATCTATCTCATTCATTGTTTGTTTCTTTCTAGCCTTCTTCATCTATCTCATTCATTGTTTGTTTCTTTCTAGCTTTCTTCATCTATCTCATCCATTGTTTCTTTCTTTCTAGCCTTCTTCATCTATGTCATTCATTGTTTCTTTCTTTCTAGCTTTCTTCGTCTATCTCATTCACTGTTTCTTTCTTTCTAGCTTTCTTCGTCTATCTCATTCATTGTTTCTTTCTTTCTAGCCTTCTTCATCTATCTCATTCATTGTTTCTTTCTATCTACCTTCTTCATCTACTCGTTCACTGTTTCTTTCTTTCTAGCTTTCTTTATCTATCTCATTCATTGTTTCTCTCTTTCTAGCTTTCTTCATCTATCTCATTCATTGTTTCTTTCTAGCTTTCTTCATCTACTCGTTCACTGTTTCTTTCTTTCTAGCTTTCTTCGTCTATCTCATTCATTGTTTCTTTCTTTCTAGCTTTCTTCGTCTATCTCATTCATTGTTTCTTTTCTTTTTAACTTTCTTCATCTATCTCATTCATTGTGTCTTTCTTTTAGCTTTCTTCATCTATCTCATTCACTATTTCTTTCTATCTATCTATCTATCTATCTATCTATCTCATTCATTATTTCTTCCTTTTCTAGTTTTTTCCTTCATCAATCTTTCTGTATTTCATTCATTGTATCTCTCTTTCTAGCTTTCTTCTTTAATCTATCTTTCTCTATATCATTCAGTGTTTCTTTCTATCTATCTATCTATCTATCTATCTATGTAATGTTGTTCCTCATCTATCTATTCTCAATCTCACTTTCTTTTCTCGAAAATATAACTTCTCATTCAATAATCAAAATTGAGCAGCATCAAGCTGGATCCTTACTTAGATGGATGATCGTATTGGAACACTTGTATATTTTCTGTAAACGCTTACAATCTGAAATAGGTTTTGGCTTTTGTAATATACTAAAACCTCTAGTGGAAACTTATGAGAATTTATTTTCTAATTCAGTTTTAGCACAGAGAATAGTTTATTTTACTGTGATGGATGGTTACAAGTGAGAGGGGAGATGGGATGTGCTTATTTTATTACCATGGCTTTAAATAACCTACAAAAGGTTGACAAACCATAAAAGCAAATCACTTAATCTTTCTCTCTAGCTTTGATATTAGGCATTCTCTTCATTTTCTTTCTTTTTCGCCTTCATTTGTCTATGTCACTCCTATTTATATCTATCTGTGGCTTTATTTTATGGTTCAAATATGTGGAAATTTTTTCTTATTTCTTTTTTTGCTATCCATTGAGCTTTGATCTTATTTACCTTCCTTATCTATCAATCTATATACCTATCTTTCTTATCTATCTATGTTCCTTACCTGTCTAGTTTTGTTCCATATCTATCTAATTATTTATATATATATTCTTTCTAGTTCTGTCCATTAATTATCACTTTGTTTATAAGTCTCTTTATCCAGACATTCTTTGTTTCTATCTTTCTCTATTCTTTCAATCTTTCTCTATTTTTTATCTATCTTTTTTATTCTTTCTTTATTTTTATCTTTCTCTATTCTTTTTATGTTTCTATCTTTCTCTATTCTTTCTATCTTTCTCTATTCTTTTTATGTTACTATTTATCTTTCTCTATTCTTTCTATCTTTCTCTATTCATTTTATGTTTCTATCTATCTTTCTCTATTCTTTCTATCTTTTTCTATTCTTTTTATGTTTCTATCTATCTTTCTCTATTCTTTCTTTCTCTATTCATTTTATGTTTCTATCTATCTTTCTCTATTCTTTCTATCTTTCTATCTATCTTTCTCTATTCTTTCTATCTATCTTTTTCTATTCTTTCTTTATTTCTATCTACCTTTCTCTTTTTTATTTGTTTCTCTTTTCTATCTTTCTCTACTTTTTATGTTTCTATCTATCTTTCTCTATTTTTGTATCTATCTATCTTTATTCTTTCTTTTTTCTATTCTTTCTTTTTTCTATTCTTTCTTTGTTTCTATCTATCTTTCTCTATCTTTATTCTTTCTTTGTTTTTATTTATTTTTCTCTATTCTTTCTATCTTTCTCTATTCTTTTTATGTTTTTATGTATCTTTCTCTATTCTTTCTGTCTATTTTTGTCTATTCCTTCTTTCTTTCTATTTATCTTTTCTAATCTAACTTTCTATATACAGGGTACGATGAATAAATATTCATCTAAATTATGCAAAAATGAAAATAACACTGACATCTCATTTTAACAGATATATTTAACAAAATTACACAAAAATATTTTGAAATACTAAAGAGTAAATTCATTCAATGAAATCACCATTGGCTCCAACCACGACCTCCAGACGATTTTGGAATGTTCTGCATCTCTTCTGGACAGTCTGAGTTGGTGAATTCTGCCATAATCCTTGCCTTCAGTTAATCTTTGGTGTTACAAGAAGTTTCTTTTGGTCTCCAAGCAGTACAGCATGCCTTTTCTATATCTCTGGTAAAGTGAATCGTGTCATGGTGCTCTTTTTCTCACAGATGGTGCCCAACTGACCCTAATATACTGTGCAGTCAACAAAAGCAAGCAACACACATATGTGAAAGTAAAAACGTAAAATGGTGACAATTTACCCATCGCACCCTGTATTTCTCGATTCTTTCATATTGATATATTTTATTTACCTCCTAGTCAATGTTTATCCATCCTTAATATGAGCCCATAGCCAAATGTTTAGAAGTTTCATTTTCCAACCATGTGACAAAGATTCCAATCTCACCATGGTTGATATGTTAGAGAGGTAACTTCTTGATTTAATCAGTAAGCGATCCCAGCATGTATTATCATTGTAAAAGTGCTTGAATGGGCTGACCCAAGCCTTGTGAGTGAAATTCGTTTGGGAGAACTATTCAAAAGCCATTGATGCTTGTGCTTGCTGATGTCACAAATGAAGGGTTTGAATATACTAGTTATGTTCAAAATAGTGATCACACCAAATTATGCACTTTCTTCTAGAAACTGTAACTAAGGCTTGCCATCCTTTCTCATGGGAATAACCTTCAGGACTAAGACCTGTCATGCCACATGCATTATAACAAACTGTTGTCATTCTCTTCGTATTCCATTGGTGAGATATAAGTTCTACTTGGGCAGCTTTGTCTCATGAACTGTTTCTTTGTGGATCTGACTCCCAAGAAGATGTTTCCTCAATCACTACAATCTTAGCCTCTTCAATTCTTGGGAATTCAGTATTTCCAAAAACAATGTCTTTTATTCTGTAACCATCTACCTTGATTGGTACTTCCAACTTGTACATCATTGCAAAAAATATTGAATCAAAATATAAGAAAAAAAAAAGGATTCAGTTATACATCTTTTAATGTGATACATCGAGTTTATATATCATATTTTCCCAAGGCTTGCAATAAACAGCAACAATAATAATATAGAGTAAAGCTAGTTATAAAATAATGCTAATTACACATCTTTAGTCTGAGACATATAATTTATATATCATATTCTTACATAATTTAATGTGTATACACAGGAGATTGTTTATGAGTATATATTAATTTGTTTATAAAATAATGGCTGGTTTTTAATACCAAATAAGCAAAATACATTATGCTCAAAATATTGAATATTTTCCAAGATATGTTTTGAAAAAATAAACTATTCTAGCAAATGATGATATTTTTACAAATAAGAATTTCCATATTTACTGGTCTGGCAAATGAGAAAAAAACTGACAAGGTGAGTATTATTATCTCTCAAATATCTCAAATTATTAAATAATCATGAAGGAAAAATAAAATATACAGTATTTAAGTGGCTTCTGAAATTTCACATAGGTGTGAGTTTGAAAGATGAATAAAGTAGAGAGTGCTAATAATAAAATAAGAGTAATAATGAAGAGTGTATTGAGCCAAAGTGTTGGAATAAAAAGCAACAATAATAAGATGGAATACAACTAATAATAAAATAATAATAATAATGAAAAGTGTATTGAGTCAGAATGTTGGGATAAAAAGAAACAATAATAAAATGGTGTAAATCTTGGAATAATTTAATCACAATAATGAAGTGTGTATTGATAGAGAGAAAAGAAGCAACACTTATATAGAGAGAGAACTATTAATAATATAATAGTGATAATAAAATGCTTTTTTCTCAAAAAAAAAACAAATGGCGTCTACTTCCTGGTACTTAAACTGTACTGTTTGTTTTGCATAAGAACAATGTATTCCATTGTAATAGTTGTAATTTTTTAAGATAAAAAATATTGCATCATAAATAATCTGAATTCCTCTCATTGCAACAACTGAATTTGTTTATTTGCTTGTTTTTTTTTGTTTCTGATTAATAAACACTATCAACATGACAGTTACTTCCCTTTATCAAGGATCAGGTTAATAATGGAACTGATTTCTTTACCATATTAGTAAATGTTCACCCTGTACAAAGCCCAAGAGTCACTCAATGTAAAAGTGTTACATAATGAGGATTTTATATGATTTTAGAAGTAAATGCAGATTATGAGGATAGGTAGGATATATAAAAATAAACCCTAAACTTGAATAGGATAAGATTCTAGTGATTAGGAAAGCACTCCCTTAGGACTCTGTTCCATAAAGTAGTGGTTCTTGTGAAGAAGCTGTCTTAGTGAAACTTTCTTCTCATCAATGGAATATAAAGGCAATGAGGATGATTCAACCCTGTGGATGTAACATAGTATGTTCTGAGAAAGGTAGCTCATTAGAAGATTTGGTATGTAAATAACAATAGTCTTGTTATAGACTTCAAATCTACAAACCTACCATTCTTCCTTGCATTGAATACTGTTGCCATATATGGTCTGGTGACCCCCCCCCCCACATGCTGTTCCTCTTCAGGACCTAGAAAAAATCCAGTGATTGGTTCTGATCTGGCATCTCATTTACAGTCACTTTCTCCCAGATGTAATGTGGCTTTGCTCTGTCATTTCTGCAAATATTTCCATGGCAACTGTTCTAACGAACTAGTGGTACCCAAACTGCATGAATTTAAGCGTGCTACTAGCTTGGCATCTCGGTCCCACCCATTTACTGTTGAAGCAGTTAAATGTAACTGCCTCTTCTACTCCAACAGATTCTTCTCTTGCATCTCCCACCAGTGGAACTCCCTTCTTCCTACTTGCTTCCCTGATAGCTATAATCTTCAAATGTTCAAATGTAATGTTAATCGACATCTTCTGATACATTGACCCCCCCCATCCTTCTCTGTATCCTTTCCTCAAACATTGCTCATGTCACTCCTGCCTTGCTTGGAGTGAAATACTTAAAATATATATATATATATATATATATATATATATATATATATATATATATATATACAGTGCTGTTCAATAAAAAGTGACTCACCTGATTTTTTTTTACTAAAAATATTTTTTGCCTATTGTTTTAGGGGTTAAAATAATTTTTAGTCTTACTAATATAAAGACCCCTTCCTGACTACCTAAGAAAAAAGTTTATTCACCCTAAGGTATTCTATTTATAATTATGAATTTGGATATAAATGAGATTCAGGAAAAAACCTAGTGCAAAAAAAGTGACTCAAATATCGCATTCTAATGATTAAACTGGTAAATTTAAAGAGCTTTTGACAAAATATTGAAAACTATTTTACAATACACTCAGAATAATATTCTAGAGAATTCTAGAACAGCTTAAGTTAAATCTAGAATATTCCAGAAAGCCTCATACAGCTTGAAATAGCCACTCAGAACCACTTAAGGCATCTATTATTGCCCTCACAAAAACAGGTAAGTCTATGAGAGAAATTGCAGAAATTGCTATAACCTCACAATCAACTGTCTCTCGAGTGCTTAGGGCACATAATGATGCCACTCCTGCTCCAAGTAAGGAAACAAGAGGACGAAAGAAAAAGATTGATGATAGAACTGGCAGGGTAATCAAGAGAGAAGTTGCAAAGAATAGGACTATAACTAGCCAAGAAATTGCAGCCAATCTAAGCGAAGAGCAAGGTGTTAGTCTTGCCTCTTCAACAATCCATCAGAACAAGGCTTCAAATCTTGTACACGAAGGTTTAAGCCATTAATAAGCAAAGCCAACAAAACCAAGAGACTTGAATGGGCTCATTATTACAAAAATGTCACCGTAGAAGACTGGAAGAATGTTCTCTTCTCCAATGAAACGAAAGTTGACCTAAATTCAAAGGATTAGGTAAGTCACTTTTATCAAACAGCACTGTATATATGTGTATGTTGTCTGTGGAGAAAGAGGGTGTAGGTTGGAAACTTAAGTTGGAAATATTTAAGAACATCTGTGTTGGTTTTGCTCAGTTGGTCAATTTACTATTTTTACTTGTGATTGTTGCTTTAAATATCTTGTCTGGTCTTTAGAGAATTGCAACAATTATTAACTTTTAGAGACCATTGCATATGAATATAAATCTTATATATCGAAGATCAGAAGTTTGTTTTTTAGATCAGAAAATGTACAAGATTTATTTCTTATTGTGATTTGAACTTCTGTAAGAGTGAGTAATTTAAGGATGCACAGTGGAGTAATGGATAGTGGCTCGGATTGAGGAATTGGAGAGCCGAGTTCAAATTCCAGTCGAATCCGTTACATTCACTTATGTACTAATACCCTTAGGAAAGGTATGAATCCCCTTCTTCCCCACCCAGTTATGGGTAAATAGCAGGACAGACCAGGTTCTATAGCCTTGGATGGCAACTGGTCTACTGCAGAAAGAAATGGCAACCTACTGCAGAAAAAAATCTGCCTCGTCAGTCAAGTATCCAAAGATACATGATCGCTTAAGAGTGTATGACGCATGGCACGTAACTGAGTAATTTGAACATGTAATACTAAAAGATGGATCCATAAAAATTACAGGGAGTGTGATTAACTAATGTGAAGAAAATTTTGAATCATTGAAAATGGAAAAGAAATGTTTTTAAAAACAAAAACATCATAAAACAGACTTTATAAAAAAATGGTTTATACAGGTTCAGATGAGATGAAGAAACATTTGATTAAAAAAGCCTTTATAATTTTCCAATAAAGAGGAAAAAAAGTATACATTTCAGAGAGGATTTTTCATAAAAAAAAGACTTTATATTTTTCTTATAGAGATAAGAGAGCAGTGGTTACATTATTTTATTGAGGTAA